TTTTTTTTTTTATTTATATTTAAAATTGTTTAAAAAAATAATATGGGAATGTTAATTAGATTGATAANTACATTAAAATCATTTTATTAATATATAAATGATATATTAAAAAACTTGAAATGATGATGTAATGAATATATCATACCAAGAAAATAGATTAATTACAAGACATTTTATATCTTAAAAATGATTAATTATATCTCAGGATCCTGGGAAACAGTTCTCTTTTTCTCATGGAATCCTAGGACAAGCAAAAGACTGGGAAATGAGAAACCGTAATGTACAGGTGTTCCCCTACTTATGAACAGGTTAAGTTCCTGAGGTTTTGTTGTAAGTTAAAACTAATCTAGAAAGTACATTCATACACATTAAAACATTAAAATTTTTCAGATAAGTGATGAAGAGAATTTTGTAAAAAAAAAAATAATGTATTGGTAGTGTATGATCCTTATATATTTAATGGAATTCATTACACTCATAAACTCACTCACTACTGCTTAGTAGCAGGTGAAAATAACCATATTTGAAATACCCAGCACTTAGTTCCATAATGTGAGGTTTAGTTTCCACAATAATAGAGCCACATTTCATGCATTTATTGCCACTGCTAGATTTACTATTAAGTTTTAGATGCATTTTTGAAGCACTAATTATAAAAGTTTATAAAATTTGCAAACAATGGCAAAAAAAAGCCATTACTCCTTATCAACTTTGATGCCACCTCACAAGCAATGATGGTACAGTACATCAGAATTTGCACAAAAAATGAAAAATGATGATATGTAATAGAAATAAATCCACATTGTTTATTAAAAATTTATTATTTGTTATTTGCTAAAAATTTACTTCAACTCTACACCATGACTAGCATGAGAACTTCAGAATCTGCAGAAAATTTAAATTTTAGATGTAGTCAAATTGTAAGTTGAATGTTTATAAGTATTGAAGCTCTTGAACAGTTTGAAGGTTGATTTGGTTTTGTTAGTTTTAATACAGTAAAATATTTTCTTAGTTTAAAAATAAAATTGAAGACAGTCTGTCAAAGAAAGGAACCACCATTTATTCATTTTCAAAGTTCCAGAATACAAACTTTTGATGATTAACCTGTCTTTGTAGTCTACTTAGACATCAAAATTAAAAATTCCCTTAAAAACAGAAAAAATATCCAATTAAAAAACATAAAAGTTTGTATTCTGGAACATTGAAAATAAATAAATGGTGGTTCTTTTTTTGGACAGACTGTCTTCAATTTTATTTTAAAATACAATTCCATCAGATGGTTGTTATACCATATTTTCTTAGTGTTATATCCAGACTGTTTTTAATTGAAAAATTTAATTTTGAATTGAATGGTAACTTTTTCCAGTTTAGATGAAAAATTTTTAGATTGCTGTATGAATCTAATGAAACATGTATGCACTTACTGTTTATGGAATAATATAAATAGATATCTGCAAATATGTTGTTCAAATCATTCAGGTTACTTGATTATTTTCCAATTTTTATTCTTATGAATAACACTGGCAGTAGTTAATAGCTGTAACTAAAGATTAACACAATAAATTTTGTCACCGTGTATGGAAAAAATTAGAGTATTTATAAGTTTGTAATAGTGTAATTATAAAAATAGAAATGTCAGAGATAATGATATACAGGAAATTGTCAAGAGAAGAGTGTGTTTATAGTGTTGGGATATTGAACTGATAAAGTAACGTTTAAAAATATGAAACTTTTTCAAGTATAAAATTATTTGAAACTAGTCGATCAAATATTTACATATAAGATTATATGTATCATTTGATATTGTGAGCCATGCCATTTTTATGTATACAAGATGCAACTCGACCTTTTTACATTCTGATGACTAGTTTACTTATGTACTGGTAATACTTGAAGTTTAGTTTCATTATCATAAAATATTTCAATTAAAAAATATTTTCTTTATTGTTAGAATTTTGTTCATTACTATTCATAGTATAAAGATAAAAATTGCAAAATATTGTACAAAATATTCTGTACATTATTTTGAAAATACTAAATAAATTTTAATATGCACAACAATATTCATCAGACAGTAGGAAATGAACTCTGTTAAATTTATCCTTGACTTATGCAATAATGCAATTAACTTTAAAAAGAATTATATAACCAAATTGACATAAATTAATAACTTTACCTCATATTTAAATTAAAATATTGTTATATAGTATAGACCTATTACCATAATATTGATAAAAATTGCAAACATAAGATTACTTTTGTTTTCAAAGGTTTGTGGTTGGGAAAGTTATTTTAAATTAAGAAAATAAATTTTTTCAAGTTTTATAAATATTTAATTTGAAAAATATGGAAATTCAATTGAAATTTATATGCTATCTTTTATATTTCATTTTGCTTTGAAATGAAAATTTCTTAATTTAAGATAGCATTAAGACAGTTATTTTGAATAACTTTAGTACAGAAATATCTAAAAACAGATATTCTTTATTGTAATTGCTTTTTGTTTTTCCAAAATACAATATAAGCTCAATTCTATTCTATTTAAGTATATTCATTAATTTCAATTGTTCATGAATATAATAAGACACACCAAAAATAAATGCTTAGAAGTTAAAAATATCTTTTAGATGTTAAGTTATGAAACAACATTGATTTTTAAACAACCAAAATTATATTTGAGCACTTTCAAGAATAAAACATGATCATCTTCAGGTAAAGATAGAAACAACAGAAAAAAATGAATAGAACAGTGTTAAAAACTTTTTTTGGTACATTTCAGAAATTAGCATTTTAGAATACAGATGAAATTTAAAGTTTAAAATCATTTAAACAAAGAACAGAATTTTTTTTTTCTTTTGAATGTGTAGTAAAGAATATTAAATGATCAATTTTTCATGTATTTTATACATAGTAGCTATTATTGGTAATTTTATATAAATACTAATAAATTTATACTATTGAATTAATCTATAAAATTTAATTATATATTGTTTACTAACTGATAAAATATTAAAATGTAGTTCTGTTAACTAATTCTGAATTAAAAATCTGCAAGATAAGATGATTCTTTACGATTAATTCTTAAAAATTGATTATAGTAATATTTTTAAACATATTAGCTAAGTCTGTTTTTAATTAATAAAATGAGAATTCACATAGTCCATGATAACAAAAATATAACTTATAAAACTTAAATACTTATCCAAAGCACTTTTGCTTATATACAGATACATGTAGATCTTAGGTTGGAGATGTTCAAAATGGAAATGAATTCAAAATTCAAATGGTCAGTTCATCTGGTTCATGACGTAAACATGATGAATTTTGTCTCTTGTCTTTGAAGTAAGAACATGATTCCATATGTTTGAAATCCTGAGTGTGGAAATGTTGCATACTTTGGATGTTTTTATATACATTACCTCCCTTAAGAATAAAATTTGCTAATTTATAGCAAAAATAAAAGTTTTGCTTCATCCCATTTTTGGTTTGTAAGTCTCATCTAAACCAAAAATGGTTAAAGCTGTCCTTCTCAGATACTGCATGTCATTTGGTGTTCTGTAATACACTTTCTTAAATTTCTTTCAGTTGTCCCAACATATGTTAGAGTATTTCTTCCTTGCTTTACTAGTTGTATGCTATATACACCTGATTTTTCTCTTATCTTTCCATCTATCTGTATCATAGCAATACAATCAATATTGTATAGTGGAGGTAAGGATATCACAGGTATCTGAAAAGAAAGGCTCTTGCACAGCTTCAGCAATTTATATATTAAGCTACCAACAAAAACATAGGGACAAGAAAAAGCATATCTTCTTCTGGTAAAGTGGTAGGTGAAAATACTTTAAGTTTAATTCTGTGATGTAAATAATTAAACTTTGAGACTGAGAACCCACTATCACTCAGTGTTCTGGATTGTTCTGAATGAAGTCATGGAGAAGAAATATTTGTAGGTCCTCCTTATGTGCAAGTAAAAGTAAAATTGACAAATTTGCTAAACTGATAGGACCAAATTGGGAGTAATGGAGGCAAGCTGTTCTTGTGATAACTTAGATTTCAGGATAGATGCTGAAATCTATCTTGATTTGACTTCCTTGATATCAACAAATCAAAGAAGTCAAATCAAGAAAATCAGCTGTAATGGCATTTTGCACCTCTAGTGAGAACTGAATGTATTGAAAAATACTATTAACATGATCAAAGAAAATACTAGTCATTTATACCATCTGTCACCCTGTTAAACTACGTGAACTTTTTATTGTCTGTTGATTCTCCACAAGTACTAGAAAGTTAATTTAGTATTTAATCTTTTAAATAATAGTTATATAAGCTAATTTATAACAGAAAATATAATTATTAATCTGTAATAAAATATGCCTGAGTAAACAAAAGTTTTTTATGAATATTATATAACTTATACTATTTAATAATAGTGCTATTTCATGCATTTTAATATCATATTATTGAGTGTTCTTGTCAGCTGTCTAATGGGTACAATGTGGTATAACATCTTTATATCTAATACTTTATTTAAACAAGCATTAATAAAAAATTTTCTAATACAGTAGAATTTGCTTAATTAATTAGATATTATCAGTCATTTAATGTCAGAATTATTATGTCTCAAAAACATAAGTTTAAAGTCATAGTTGTCATCTGAAATTTCAAATGATAGACTAGAGAGAAGTCCAAAATATTTTTCTGTAACATAGTAGATAAAGTCAAGAGTCCTAATATGATAGACCAGTAATTGAAATTAGTGTTGTCATTAACTGATAATTACAAATATATAAATATTTGAGATTATTTTGAGTAATTTGCTGTTTAAGAGGAACATAGTAGTTTGTAATCTCATTTAAATCATAAAAAGACATTTTTCTAGATACGTAAGTCTTTTTGGTGGTAGGTACAGTACATATTTTCTTGTCTTTATAACAATATTATTAATTTATTATTTATTTATAACAATATATTAATTTATTAAAATTATTTTAATACAGTTGGCATTTGGATTGGCAAAACTTCTATTTGATGAACCATTTATGATGTTAGGATTGTTTACATTTGGCTGTAGTCCTGGTGGAGGAGCCAGTAATATGTGGACTGTTATATTAAAAGGGAACTTGAATTTAAGTCTGACCATGACATTTATAAGCACTGTAGCAGCATTAGGTAAATATTTTTCTGTAATATAATAAATTAATAATAATAATAGTAGAAATAACTTGTTTTTATTGTTTAATAATTTTTTTATTTTATTCTAATTTAAGTTATATAATATAATTAACATATAAAATTTTAAAAGTTTTGACTTGATGAAAATTTAACTTAAAAATATAATAATAATCTGTCATCTGATAATCAGGTAGGTTTTTCGGTACAAGGCAGTACAAATCATTATTATATACTTTAACTTTTTCTAGATTTGTTGATTTTGATATGGTTGTAAGTATCGAGGTCACGTTTGTCAGAATGATAGTACTTATCCCTGTTTGAACATTTTTATTCAAATAAAAATGTTATAATTTTTGAACTTTACAAACATTTTTATGTAGTAATTATAATAAAATTATGTATTGAATTTTAATATAGAATCAAACATATCCAAATTCTTAAGAATAAAATTTAAGATTATAGTTACACAAACTCACTTAAAATTTCAGTAAAAAAATTTTAAGTAATCCAATGACCTAAAGGTTCTAATTTTATCTGTAGAATCACGTAACAAAAATGTTTTATCATAAATAATTATATACTTAAACCATTTTAATTTAATAAAAGTGAAACTGTTTTCTATTAATTAGAAATATTAATACTCACCAATTTTGATGTATATATTAACGTATATGCATTTATTTTAAAATTATTCTGAATGTATTAGTTTTAGAAAAATGAACAAAATATTGAAAGAATAATTTAACTAATAATTTTATATTTAACTACTATGATGAAATCATCACATCCTTTATTATTTATTGTAATTGGAAGAGATCCTTCTCTGCTGATATAAGAATTCATAAAACTAACACAAAAAAATTATTTAAGTTTACAAACTTACAATAAACATCATTTGAGTCATCTAATGTATACATCTTAAGTTGTTGAACTTAAAACTGTATAAGAACTTTCAGACATCCTTTGTTATTGTTTCTCAATAAACTGTTTAATTATACAAATATGGTAAAACATTCTATTTGTGACCACTTGAAAAATCAAAAATTGTCACATATGGGCATAAAACAGAGGATGTCATTTATAACCTTTATTTCAACATACAGTATTACAGAATTTGCAATCAATAAAAACAAGAAGGGTGTTTACTCAAAATTTAATATATTTTAAGCAATTAAACTAAAGACTAAGTTTCAATAGTAGTTTATTAATGATAAGTTGTTGATAGAACAGTAATTTTGAGTGTTATTAATAGGTTGATTTAGCAGATCAAATCAATCAATTTCAAATATCAGACACAGAACATCTACAGAGACATTCCATGAGCATCTTTGATATTTGAAGTAATTTAACCTGATGAAGACTTTTGAATAAGGTGAAATGTGAGTTATTAAAGAATTTGTTCTTGAATTTGTGGAGTTAGCAGATCTGTTAACAAACACAACCCAAAAAATCTTACTAGCCACCTGTACTCTTGTTACTGTAGAGAAGTTATATTTCATTGGTTAATGATAATCATAATAGTGTTCCTTGATTCCTGGAAACAGTACCAGTTTGTCCACTAGGCACAAGCCTCATCTATGGTCCTCAAATCTTAGAGACCTTGAAATTGGAAAAAAAAGGAATTTTATCATCACAATTGTGTATCATAAATTTGTAAATAATTTTATAGCTACAGTTAGACGTTATTAGATTATGATATTATAAAATTATATAAAGGCTTCCAATCTTCTGTATCTAATACTTTATTTAAACAAGCATTAATAAAAAATTTTCTAATACAGTAGAATTTGCTTAATTAATTAGATATTATCAGTCATTTAATGTCAGAATTATTATGTCTCAAAAACATAAGTTTAAAGTCATAGTTGTCATCTGAAATTTCAAATGATAGACTAGAGAGAAGTCCAAAATATTTTTCTGTAACATAGTAGATAAAGTCAAGAGTCCTAATATGATAGACCAGTAATTGAAATTAGTGTTGTCATTAACTGATAATTACAAATATATAAATATTTGAGATTATTTTGAGTAATTTGCTGTTTAAGAGGAACATAGTAGTTTGTAATCTCATTTAAATCATAAAAAGACATTTTTCTAGATACGTAAGTCTTTTTGGTGGTAGGTACAGTACATATTTTCTTGTCTTTTACTTTATAACAATATTATTAATTTATTATTTATTTATAACAATATATTAATTTATTAAAATTATTTTAATACAGTTGGCATTTGGATTGGCAAAACTTCTATTTGATGAACCATTTATGATGTTAGGATTGTTTACATTTGGCTGTAGTCCTGGTGGAGGAGCCAGTAATATGTGGACTGTTATATTAAAAGGGAACTTGAATTTAAGTCTGACCATGACATTTATAAGCACTGTAGCAGCATTAGGTAAATATTTTTCTGTAATATAATAAATTAATAATAATAATAGTAGAAATAACTTTAAAGTTTAAAATCATTTAAACAAAGAACAGAATTTTTTTTTTCTTTTGAATGTGTAGTAAAGAATATTAAATGATCAATTTTTCATGTATTTTATACATAGTAGNTATATGACAAATTACATTTTAAGTAGCTGCATACCTAAAGTTAGACAAATGATCATACATCATAGGCTGATTTGTATGGAAGTGACCAAAAAACATAGTCATACTTTGGAGTTGGGCTTGAATCACAGGTGCAATTCAACTATTATGAATTGTTTTATAAGAGTTTTATAGAGGTCCACATTCTATTTAAATCAATGAAAAATTTTGGTGATCTTTTCTGCTGGTCACAAATAAGAATTTACATTATTTTAAATAGCATCTGAAATTGTTTGCAATTTAAAATTTTTTTCTTTTCTTTGAGTTGACAGTAAATACTTCTAATGTTTGTTTTTATACTTAAAATTGACTTTTAAATCAAAAAATATGATTAAAACCACACTTAAGTTATTGCTTTATTTGTATTTTCAATTTACTCTGTGATAGACTATCTTTATTCTGATTAGATATAATTGAAGTTGCCTGGAAGTAAAAGTAAATGCACTTTATTTATTATCATACCAGATGTATAGATTGATTTGTTCAAGCAAATGTTTATAAATTTCAGTGGGCTAATTTATTTCCATTACTAGTTCTGGCATTATAAAGGGTTTCATACAATGAGACACTTACATAATCTGCAATTCAACTATTATGAATTGTTTTATAAGGTTTAGTAATTAAATTCTAAGACTGACTGCATATGCAATTAAGAATTTCACAGAATCCAATTTAGAAAACTAATAAGAGAACTGATTGTTTGAATTAACTTTGTAATACAACCATCTCTTAAAATTGAAAAATAATTCCTACTAATATTGTTTATATTAATATTCTGAAATTCAGCATAATCCATTGTTCTCTACAGCTAAAAAAGTAGTAAAAGTATATGTAAAAGTTCATAATTTTTATTTTTATATACAGTGAATTGTCAAAAATCCGGACTAATTGGGCGATGGACCCTGTTCAAATTTTTAAAATAGCATGTTTTAAGTAACAGTATTGTAAATTCCAAATACACTGTAATTCAAGTTTTGCTATTCTAAGTTCAAGCCAGTGTTACACAAGGAATATAGGAATATTTACGAAGATTCAAAATATAGAAGATCACTAATTTATTCAAAAATACACTAATTTCAAAGTTAAAAAAAGTGAGAATTCTGAATGAACATAAAAGCTGAAAGAACGTCAACACAGTTACCATTAAAAACATTAATAACCATTTTTGATGGTTGAATCTTGATTTTTGATATTTCACTGTATATACTTAATAATGTACTATTGAAATTTCAAATTAATATATTCCAAAATATTTTTTTCTTTCAGGCATGATACCACTTTGGCTTTTTACACTTGGCACCCTATTGTTTAAAGATACAAAGACTGTAGTACCATACTCTTCAATATTAACAACATTAGTATCCATGCTCATTCCTTTAGGTGTGGGACTTTTGTTTCAGAGATTTCTGCCTCGTGTTGCAAAATTTTGTCGAAAAATACTTGCCCTTGTTTCCATTCTTATGATACTGTTTATTATAATATTTGGTACCTATGCTAATTTTTATATGTTTAAGCTGTTTACTTGGCAAATTGTTGTTGCGTCAATGGTAAATGTTTGGACGGGTTTTCTTTTTGGTGCTATAATTTCTAAAATCTGTGGTCTAGCAACTGAAGATATTATTGCTGTTGCAATAGAAACAGGTGTTCAAAACACTGGTATAGCAATTATTCTTCTAGGATTTTCCCTGAAACAACCAGATTCTGATCTAGCATCCGTTGTTCCAGTAGCTGGGTCAATTATGACACCATTTCCGTTATTAATTGCATATGCAATACAAAAGTTCTGGAATTGGAAAAAGTCTTCAAAAGAAAAACATAGAGAGATTATTTTTGATGATCTTCAAGAATCAATGTTGAAATCACCCAATTCCAGTACTGGTGGTGATTTAAAACAAATATCAAATGGTAGGAATTAATAATGCTTATTGTTAAAGTTACACGTAGTATTTTAATTATGCATTGAAGTTATTTTTTATATTTGCTATTTCAGGCATACCTGAATTATCATTTTATAAAATGTAAATTCGTAAATAAGATGCTGTTTTTAAATAGCCAAAATTTCCATTGTCTGAACTCTTAATCTAAAGTACAGTATTTTCAGATTGTTACATATCTGATTTTCTATTTTTCTATGATGTTTTAGACAATTTAAAATATTTCATGTCACAAATTTGTCTAAACAGTTGTATTGGATATCAATAAATGTACTTACCTTAAACTAATTGTAAACTAAAAGTTAGTATTAAAGATATACTGTTTAAAAATAGAATTTGAATTTCAAATTTTATAATTCATTTTGAATAAAATGTTTTAAAAATATAAAACTAGCCACCTGTACTCTTGTTACTGTAGAGAAGTTATATTTCATTGGTTAATGATAATCATAATAGTGTTCCTTGATTCCTGGAAACAGTACCAGTTTGTCCACTAGGCACAAGCCTCATCTATGGTCCTCAAATCTTAGAGACCTTGAAATTGGAAAAAAAAGGAATTTTATCATCACAATTGTGTATCATAAATTTGTAAATAATTTTATAGCTACAGTTAGAAGTTATTAGATTATGATATTATAAAATTATATAAAGGCTCCCAATCTTCTGTATCTCTAGGATCTGGAAACAGAACAATATATGTTCTATATGACAAATTACATTTTAAGTAGCTGCATACCTAAAGTTAGCTGCATACCTAAATCAGCCTATGATGTATTCCATACATCATAGGCTGATTTGTATGGAAGTGACCAAAAAACATAGTCATACTTTGGAGTTGGGCTTGAATCACAGGTGCAATTCAACTATTATGAATTGTTTTATAAGAGTTTTATAGAGGTCCACATTCTATTTAAATCAATGAAAAATTTTGGTGATCTTTTCTGCTGGTCACAAATAAGAATTTACATTATTTTAAATTACATCTGAAATTGTTTGCAATTTAAAATTTTTTTCTTTTCTTTGAGTTGACAGTAAATACTTCTAATGTTTGTTTTTATACTTAAAATTGACTTTTAAATCAAAAAATATGATTAAAACCACACTTAAGTTATTGCTTTATTTGTATTTTCAATTTACTCTGTGATAGACTATCTTTATTCTGATTAGATATAATTGAAGTTGCCTGGAAGTAAAAGTAAATGCACTTTATTTATTATCATACCAGATGTATAGATTGATTTGTTCAAGCAAATGTTTATAAATTTCAGTGGGCTAATTTATTTCCATTACTAGTTCTGGCATTATAAAGGGTTTCATACAATGAGACACTTACATAATCTGTAATTCAACTATTATGAATTGTTTTATAAGGTTTAGTAATTAAATTCTAAGACTGACTGCATATGCAATTAAGAATTTCACAGAATCCAATTTAGAAAACTAATAAGAGAACTGATTGTTTGAATTAACTTTGTAATACAACCATCTCTTAAAATTGAAAAATAATTCCTACTAATATTGTTTATATTAATATTCTGAAATTCAGCATAATCCATTGTTCTCTACAGCTAAAAAAGTAGTAAAAGTATATGTAAAAGTTCATAATTTTTATTTTTATATACAGTGAATTGTCAAAAATCCGGACTAATTGGGCGATGGACCCTGTTCAAATTTTTAAAATAGCATGTTTTAAGTAACAGTATTGTAAATTCCAAATACACTGTAATTCAAGTTTTGCTATTCTAAGTTCAAGCCAGTGTTACACAAGGAATATAGGAATATTTACGAAGATTCAAAATATAGAAGATCACTAATTTATTCAAAAATACACTAATTTCAAAGTTAAAAAAAGTGAGAATTCTGAATGAACATAAAAGCTGAAAGAACGTCAACACAGTTACCATTAAAAACATTAATAACCATTTTTGATGGTTGAATCTTGATTTTTGATATTTCACTGTATATACTTAATAATGTACTATTGAAATTTCAAATTAATATATTCCAAAATATTTTTTTCTTTCAGGCATGATACCACTTTGGCTTTTTACACTTGGCACCCTATTGTTTAAAGATACAAAGACTGTAGTACCATACTCTTCAATATTANGAAATTTTCAGGATACGACATGAAATTCGAACATATTTTTGCTCCACGATACGAACAAAAACTCACCATACGACGTTACATTAGTTCGCATTTTTCATTTGTTTTTCTTACTACAGTTATTTTTTTAAATGTATTACTTGGCTTTAATTTGAGTATGTTTTTCGCGTTGGAACGAATTATTTAGTTTTACATGTAATCGTATGGGAAAGGATGATCCACCTTACGACATTTTCATGATACGATCTCAGTTTCGGAACGGATTAATTTCGTATCCTGAGGTACCACTGTATTAGAAATTCTAGTAGTTGGTAAAACAAATGATAATTATACTTTAGAAGAAAAAATTTTCATTATTGTATTCAAAATACATGTATATTGCAATTAGATCTAAAGATTTTTTCATAATTTTAACTGCATAGGAAAATATATATCAAGCAAATTCATAAAATGAATTTTATTTTTGTAGTCAGTTTTCATTTAAAATATTGTCAAATAATGAATTAAATAATAATGTACTTTGTAACATTTTGAACTTGTACAAGGAATCAAAAAAAAATTTTCAGATAAAAAGCAAAGTATATTGCTCTATATTAATATATCGCTCTATAAATTAAGTTTATCCCAATTTGTACAATTAAAAATTTTATAGAATTTGTATTTTCATACAGTTTGTAACTTATTTTGATCAGTTCTAGGATCTTTATACTTACTAATCATATGAAATGTAAGTTGCTATAAAGCACATAATGAACAGAAAATACTGGCAATAAGAATTTTTAAAATACAAAACTGGTTAAAAATTCTCTATTTATATTGTCTGTGATAACTTTGTATTTTAGTTNTATTCAATTTTTTTTTTTGTGTGTGTCGTTTTATATGACGTTACTGTACATTAGAATATATTTACGCGTCACACGACACAACACAACACAACATATTAAAATACTTTAACGATATATTTAATTTTAGAACTGTTTAAAATCATTTTTAAATAATATTTAAGATGATAAGGTATACTCCGGTATATATCAATCTCTCATTATAATGCATTCAGATTTGCAACAGGCTGAGATACCACGTTGCATCTATCTGTATTACAAGTATACTACATGAAAACTAACAACTTTCTGATGATTATCCGATACTTTTCTAGCTTATTATCTCAGAAATAAATGCAAATGTATTCAGTTTATACGAATTTATAAACTTCTAAGCTCTTACAAATTCTAAAATTTCACAAAATTTAACATTCAAGACAATAATAAAATTTTTCCCTACAAATAATGTAGGTTACTTTACAAGTGCGTGTTATAAAACATGTATTTGATACATATCTAAATTTTAATTATTTTAAATGAAAGTCCAGAAATAATGTTTAAACATGCTCTAATTTTCTTCTTTAGAGCGAATTATAAAAATAATTTTAAAAATGAAGACAAATTCACGTTTATTTTTTTACACCATTCAATGTCTTTTGATGTTTTTTCTTTTACTAATTTTGTGATTGCCATTTATTAGTGCGTTACAACAAAATTTGTATTTTAGTTTTATTATTATAAATGCTATACCATAAAATGATATAGTAAAAAGTAAAAATCAATATCTGTAATATTTTTTTTTTCCTGCATATACAAGACTAATTGTTAAATTTTAAAGATTTTAATGTAATTATTGTATAATGTTAAGAACAAAGATAAATGAAGTATCAATTATTAAAAAACAAATGTGTATTCTCTACTAAATTCATTGAATAAGTTGGAAACTGTCCATTGCTGCTTTTTAATCTAGATAATGTTGCATGTAAAAATGATCTGAACATGGCATCTTTGTATTTTCTATAAATTTTAAGGAAATGATTGATTATAATCATCAAAAATATTTTATATTGGTTAGAAGACAAATTTGATTAAATATAATAGATAATGTGTTCAAGATAACCTTTAACACACTATTCGTCTTTCATGGATTATATAAATTTTATTGAGGAATGAGATTTTTTTACTGTAATATGATTGAAGCTTCTAAAATTTTCTACATGAAACAATTTTAATTTACAAAACAGGAAAAATCAGTGCATACTCAATTTATAAAATTTAATACAAATTACTAAATATTTTAAGTTGTAATAAAAATGACTAGAATTTATTTCTTGTAAACAATGTATAATAAATAGTATTTTTGTTTGCTTTTTATATAGTAACAAACTTGAATGTGTTGTGGTATACAATTTTGTATTTAGAAATATTTTGTATTTAAATAAATATTGATTGAATTTAGTTATACAGTATAACTAAATATATATATAAACAATTATTTTTTCTACAAATGGTATACTTAATGTATACATCTTAAAGTTAAATGAAATTGATAGTGTGTTATTTATTATTAATTCTAACACTAGATAAAACAATTACTGAATATATACTGAGTTGAGGAAATATATTGAGGTAATGTTAGTTAATTTGAAGCTTTCTAGTAGTATAATATAGTTTTCTAGATAACTATTATACTAAAAATTAAGTATTTTAATTTTCAAAACTAACGATTTAGTGGAAGGAAACAATTTAACTTAAATAACTTAACTATATTACACTAAGCTTAAAATTTGCTTTAATGGAATATATAAGTTAATTAACTGCGACTATTAACTTAATCAGCTATAAAATAATGAACACTATTACCTAATTATAGCAATTATTTTGTAAATTTTCTGTAAAATGTGAAGTTATGTGCTCTATTGAGAAATACACTAAATTTAATATGAAATTTATCAATTCTTCAAAAAAAAAAAAAATGAATTCTGTATAAATTTTAAATCTCAATTCTGAACAATTTAATATAACATAAGCAGTTTAAATTTATCAAATTCAAATTTATTTAGTGAATGATACACACTATGATGTAATTTGTATTTAGCTAATCAGCTTTGAAAGAGATTACANAAAAAAAAAAAAATGAATTCTGTATAAATTTTAAATCTCAATTCTGAACAATTTAATATAACATAAGCAGTTTAAATTTATCAAATTCAAATTTATTTAGTGAATGATACACACTATGATGTAATTTGTATTTAGCTAATCAGCTTTGAAAGAGATTACATAAATTTTAGTGATTCTATACACTTTAATTATACTTTATTTTGATGTGCAATAAATTTTAGTTTATCAATATTGAATTAAATTCAAGAAAAGGCATTGACCTGAGTAGTAGATAATCCAACAAAGACAAATATTTTATCAATGTATTGTGGTGATGTTGAAATCAATTTTT